AGAGATGGCCTGGCCCTATAAATCCTGTCTGCTGGACTGGTAGCAGCCCTTTCCTATCTGCAATTAAAGAGGAAACTCCATCTGAAGGGAACCATTCGCTGTTGAACTCTGGGGTGGGTTTTTCTTCTTGTGATAGGGATGGGAAGGAATTTTGTTTTGTCTTTTGGAAAATCTCATAAAACTGTAAATGAAAAGATATTTTATGTTTTGAGATTTTGGGGGGGGGAAGGGGAGAGAAGAAAAAGTGGAGTGAGGGAGTGGAGAACATGGCAGCCTTATTCCTGAGATACAATGCTGAAATCTATTGTCTTGCAAGCATGAAACTCTTCTGTATAGATTTAAAAGGTCAAAATGCTTTAATGTTTTGGGCCTTGTTTGTGTAGTATTTCCACCAGCATTTTCCAACATACAGTAGTGATTTTTTTTTCCTTTCCCCCCCATTTTTGCTCTGTGTAAACAGTTACTTGCTGTAGCTACATAGACAAATATAGCAGAGAGCTCTTTTCTGAGAGAAGAGTCTCCCCATGCATTTCTTAACCATTTTTGGGAAGAATTGATCTATCCGTGCATGTGAGAGGGGGAGGCAGTAGCTGTAAATTGAAGTGACATCATATATATTACTCCCATTGATCCGCTTTTAGACTAGCGTCAGGATAAAAGGAAATGGCATCAGGGAGGAAGCATGCTCATTTAGGCACAGATCCCAGCGTGATAATGGAGTAATAACAGAAATCACGCCACTGTCAATCGGCTGCTGCATTAGTCTGAGGCACATTTCCCCTCCGAGGAGGCTTTCAATGACTTCATTCAAGTGCAGGCTGGAGCAAATGGGATATTCAGCATACCAGCTGTACTTCTTTAGTGATTTGTGTCCTCGCTTAGGGGTGCCGTGCAAGCATTGGTGCTCAGGATGCTCGAGTACATATATCTATGTCACGTTTCATGGCTGCGAAAGGTCAGTAGTCAAATGTTTCAGATACATTTTTCTAGTGTAAAGGGTGAATCTGGCATTTATTGCATTTGTTAATGCAGGTATTGATAAACACTCTCCTTCGTGTGGGTGGTCTTCTGGGATGTGAGGTCGATGACCTCTCTAGCTGCAATACCAGATCTTTTAAGAGGCAAGATTTGTTTTCTTTGTGCTTTTTACAGGTTAGGGCTAGGATTCAGAAAATCCATACTTTTGTTCCAAGACTACTTGCAGAAACCCTTTCAAAACTGTTTGCAGCTTGAAATGTTCTTTTAACATGGTATATTGCTCCAAGTGTTTGTATACTCATATGAATAAAATGTATAGTCTCTTTTACCTAGTTCCCAAATGTTTAGTATATATTGAATTTAGTATATATTGATATTAGTTTGATGACAGGCTATGTTATATTTTCAATTTGATGAGATATTTTTACTTTTTCATCTTGCATTTTTCAAATATAGAATTAGTCTTGATTCCATATCATTTCAAGTTTGTATCAGAGATAGCAGCCTGTTCATTCAAACTTTATAAGTGGTTCACACTTAAAAAGCCCTGGAAAAATTACCGGGAAAAACAAAATATACTTTTTTTCATAAAGCTGAATAGTTCCAAGAGAGGTTGTGTAGTCTTCAGGACAAGACAAAGTACATAGCACTGAGATACAGCATTCTAGTGGGGATATGTTACTTGATTTTATGGGACAAGATTAAAAAAAATAACCACCAATGTGCTTGATCAAAACAGTAATTTATTATCTTCATACAGTGTCAATACTCACAACTGGAGGAGGAGGAACCCTGCGATTTCCATGCAGCAGGAATGGGTTGGAACTAGAGCCGTCTAATTTACAATATAAATAGATGACATTGCAGCATTCGTAGTCACAGTGCAAGGTGCTCATTTCCCACTGTTGGTACTACCAGTATTAATTGGTAGCAACCACCAAGTTGCTTTTCCTTGTCTAAGTGATCTACTCTAGTAATCATGTATATATGCAGCATTTTCCCACGCAGTTCGTAGTTCATTTAGATTTAGAATTACATGTATGTTTTTAACAGGAAGATAGAAATTTTGTGTTTGGAGTGTTGCGGTTGGTTTCGGGACATGATTTCAGCATGGAAATATACATTGTCACAGTGGTGTTTATTCTGCAGTATTTTGCTAAACCTACATTGTGTATTTTTCCTGTAAGTTAGATGTTCAAGATGCATTCACAGAATTTGAATTTGCATAAGGATAATGTTTCCATAGTATTTGAAAACAAATTTATTTTTACTTCAACATTTATCTTCTCGTAGAAACTAGAATTTTGCAAGGGGTCATTTGCACTAAACACAAGGCAAAGAGGTGGAAAATTGACAGTATTCACCCCAAACAATTCTCAATGTGGAATATGAGAGCTGACAGGTGGCTGGAACAAATAAAGATGGTGACTGGGGAAGCAAAAAGTAATAGGGTCTGTCTAGTTGAATAAAACTTCTAGTGCAATTTTAAGAAGTTATTAGCAGTCTTTAATAAATTGATTTGGGGATACTATTATACACATTGCTGCCTTTGGGGGGTAAAAAAAGAGGGCAGGAAAATTTTAAAATTTAAAGGAATTTTTCATCTCAAAACTTCTCCTGAACTTTCTGTATCTTTCATCAGAAAGCAAGTTTTCTCTCTGGCACTCTCTGGCAGAGTTTATTTTATGTACGCGGAGGGAAGGGAATGAAAGCAAGTGTGTTCCTCCCTGTATTTTTGTTGGAAGTGAAGGAAAGAACAAGATGTGTAGCTGCGCCCACTAGTGCCGCTTTGGTTACAGGTCTGTCCGCTTTGCTGCTGCCGGTGCGCCCGCCCTGCGCTCCCTCTCCAGGACTTCTTGCCCTTTAGTTAAAGCAGGAGCTGGAAACTAGTGTGTACCTAGGACGTGGGAAAACAACAGAAACCATGGTCTCAGATTTCTTTTCCCTTTGCTGTCTCGTGTACAAACTGACAGAGTTTAAACTATAATCCTGAAAACTCTTCACCCATAAAGTAGTACTAGGCAGAGGCAAATTAAGGACATGACTGCTGCTTCACTTTGCTTTTGTTGGCTTCGGCTAGATTCTAAATTCTAGTATTATCTTAAACAATAGCTTTCTGTGGGTGAACTCGTACAACAATTATATTGACAACATATTATCAAATAACTTCTCTAAGCTATGCTGAACTTTCTCTAGTATATGTACATAGAAAGTATATATGTTTTTAATGTATGCATGCATTTCAGCAGTTTCTGCAAATTAAGTAAGGCTCTGCTGGCTTTGTAGTTAGTAGTGAAAGCTTTCTAAATAAGAAGTTACCTTTTTGTGTGTGGTGTTCTGCAATATTTCAGATTTTATTAGCATTCTAAATGAATTCAGTTTCCAAGCAGAGCCGTTTCCCAGAAACCTTCCCTGTTCTGTTTTTTAAAGTATTCCTCTCCCCTCACCAAGCAGCTGTTCTTGGACAGTGCAATAAATATTCAAGTTGACGTTTTAGTAGTTGTCCTAAAATTGAAATACTAAATATTTTTAAATGTCTTAACTATTTTTAACAACTCCATTTTGTTGGCAGGCTTGGGTAGCACTCAGAAAATGTTCCAGTTAGAGGCAGTAAGATTGGTTTCTTTTCAGTGCAGAAGAATATGATTTTAGTAAGAAAAGATTGTGTTGCAAGGAAACCAAATCATTAAAATCCTATTAAAGAGATCTATTTCTCCTTTTCTTACGATTTAGATACTAGCATTAAATTATGTCAGATTAAGCATGAAGAATGTTTAGTTAACTGGAAAGTCTTTACGGTTTAAGACATAACATAAAATCCTTGATGTCCTCCTGGCCTGAGTGTCCGAGGTGCGGGCCGCGGGCCCCTTTGGCACGAGGCGGCAGCCGCAGCTCCGGCCGGCAAAGCTGCCCTCCAGGAAAGCTGGAGGGAGAGCCTTTCCAAATGGCACAGAAGTTGGAAGCTCTGCTAAAGTAACAGGATATGGTTGGGGGGAGTTCTTTGTGTGCTTGTTTGTTTTTTCATTGATCTCTATGGAGAATATTAAATGTGAATGATTCTGGTGTATTTTTGCACGCAATAGGTTTAATTCACATCCCGCATTCCTGATTTCACCTTTTTTTTTTTTTTTTTTTTTTNTTTTTTTTTTGTGCTCACAATGATGAATAGTAGAGAAAGCTCTGGGACATTTTCACAAACTTGAACTTCTCGATGGTCATTCTGAACCCTCAATTTCCAGTGCTTGTTTCCTGGCAGCTGGTGCAATTTGTCTTTGAGCTCTGCTTGAATTATTTATTTGTTCATCCAAATAAGCCTATTAAACAGAGCACTTAAGCACTTGCTACATCAGATGTATGCTTTTTGTTTTCAGACTGCAGTAGGTTCAACTTGAAAATGTTAGGTTTTTGAGTCACAGCAACTAACTATTATACTCATATATATACATACTCTATGTACCAGAAATGTAGTATGCTTCTTTTTACTGTAGTGTTGCACTGCTCCTGATTTTTTTTCACTAGAATAGTGCCTCTTGCTTGTGTTGTGTTTCTTCGTTTACTGTAGGAATACCAAGCAATTGCTCATATAAAATAAAAATGCCACTCTGAGAATTGCACATTTATATGTCTGGTGGATTCCTGAAATAATGAACTACAAATTGTTCTTATATTTTATCCCTTCCAAACCCAATCTAAATGGAAGTACTTAGCATATGTATTCCATAAAGATTTTAGCTTAATAAGCTATGGTAATGTTTCAATAAGATAAAATTGGTTTTGATTCAATCTAAATATAGAAATGGAAGCCATGGAAAATAAGTCTTATTTAGTCCGCTGAACATAATCTTTCATAATACAGAGACGTAAACCCCAAAATTTTTCAGAAATCAACTAGAAGTTCTCACAATATTTCAAATATAGGCTGAATTACACAGGTTATCACAGTCTTGTCCTAATTGGTTTGTTTCCATTTAATTGTCTGTATGCACAGCTTTATTCTCACAAGGCTTTTATTTTCTTCGTAGCTTCTCCCGGACCAGCTGGTTTTGCTTCTGGAGTCTCTTTTGGAAGAGAAAACATTGTGCGCTAGGACACTGCAGTGCTTAGAGAAAACATATAAGCTCCGTGAACAGGATGCAGAGGTAAATCACTAAAAAAATCACCATAAAGTGAGTAATTGTCTTGTTGACTAGGAATAATAGTATTTCACTAGGATCGAGACTCATTCAAAACCCTTTTTCCTATTCTAAAGCTAAAACTACATCTATTTTGTTGCAATGCCTTAGTTACTGAGTATCTCAGTAACTCTCTCTCTGTATATGTATGTGTGTGTGTTGTGTAGGTCCAGATGTGTTTGTATACTGTAATAATAGGAGACAATGCAGCTAAGATTTTATATGTAATTTTGCATATACTTTAGGTAGCATGTTCATTAATGTTAAAATTCTTATTATGTAACACTGGCTCTATATTCAGAATTTGATTTGTTTTAGATATATTTATCATCCCTAAAGGCAGTTGTGTGTCTAAAATTCTTTTTATGTATAGTCAGCCCATATTGTTTCTCTAAAGTTTTATTCAGTTTTAGAAGTTCAGATTTAGAAAAGCCTTCCAGAGAGACTACAATGTGCTCTGGGCATGAGTTTCAAGGAGGAATTAGTTCTTAACAATTGCAGCTAGTAAGTGCCAGAGATGTTAACAGTCACTTAAGAAAAGGCAATTTTATGTGATACTGTAAATGTGCCTTCCCCATCACACATGTTTATGAGACTAGCATCCCTGCTCCAAAGGGCTTAAGAGGCCAAACCAGTAAATCCTTCCTACCACACACAGTGCTGGCTATTTGGTAGAGTCTGATGGATTTCTCAAGCAGGAAGAATCGGGATAATTAGCACAGCAGAACTTAAGGTTGTAGGCATACTTGCAGTGAGTAAGGGTTTGCTTCACATGGATAGTATGCAAGAGGATGAGGCCAGTTGTGGAAATAAAGGACATATAGATGTATAAATAAAAAGGGCTAGTTTTTAAGGAGCATATAGTCAAACAAGTGTACAGTGAAGGATTGTAGTAAACTTAACAAGATACTCAACTTCTTAATTAAAAACTATGGTGAAGTGTTTGAAAGGTCAGTGTACATGACTTTACCCTGTTTTTATTGGAATTTTGTGTGAGTAATTGAAATTGAAGGAGAGCAAATTCTGGTTTTTTTACCTTGTTTACCAGGTGGATGATTATAAACACTTAGAAACCCAAATACTAATGGGAAGATCCATAGGGCAGAAGTCTAGCTTTTTTCTCAGAAAAACGGGCAACATTTCAAATGTTGCTGTTTATTGCACCTTTTTATTTTTTGTTGGTAAGAGTTTCCAAATACCAGACTTGTTTTTAATTAGTACTTGAACCAACTTTTCTATTTATAGGAATTAGGATATATTTTAATCACATCTAAATACCAATGAAATGTCAGAGGTTCTATAACAGGAAAAGGAATAGCTAGAGAGGTAGATCAAAGCAATAGCTGTAGTCTTGCTACTTCATGCCAGTGAATTATGAGCACCGGACCATGGGCTTGGCTTTCTTCATTTTTTTCCTTTCCCTCCACAGTCATGCCTGCCTTTTTTCCTTGCAATGTCACATAAAGCCATATGAGTGATCCTTTTATTTTTTCATTCTTTAAAAAAAATAAAATAAGCAAAATACTGGCTTTGGTGAAAGGAGCATAATCTGACTCCTTGTTATTTTACAAGGTGAAACCAAGGGCTTAGTGAACCTTGAGAAGTACAGTAAGATAACATTGCTGTTAGCGCTTTACCAGTCACCCAATCAGTCACCTACAGTCCTTTAAAGGGAGTGTTAGTGTTAGCTTACACATCTCACCTCCCCACCGGAGGGAGGAACTTCTCATGTCTCTAACCCCAAGATGTGCAGACGGGATTTTTCTTGTAATTTCACAGGAATAGAGAACTGCAGTTCAGGCTTCTAACTGAGCATGTCTAAATTTGATCTGTGGATATATCAATGAGTTATAGTCATACAGTTATGTTGCTGGATGTTTTAGTAACTAAATTGATTATTAAAAATTCAATCATGAAAAAGTGCAGGGAGGCCATTGAAAAACAAAACTGTCAATATTGGAGATATTTTTATTTACAGATTTTTATAAGAAGAGCTGTCAGCTGTGTTCCATCCAGAACAGAATAATAAATAACATATTTTATTATTTTTGATTACAAATGTTTATATTCGCATTAATTGTATGATATGGATTGGCAGTGATAGTAACAGGAAGTGTGTGCGAGTAGTGGGTTTTTTTAAACAAAGTTGAGTTGGAAGGCTCTCCGTGTGTGTATTGGCAGTTAACAAAACTACTTCCTTACCCCATCAGAGGGAATATTATGTTGTGATGTATTCTTGAAAAGTTTAGTGCTCCAATTTTTGTATGACCAATATGAAAATAGATAGGAGTTTGAATAATCTCACCTTTTTGGGTGCAGCTTCGTTTTTTTTTTTTTTTTTTTTTTTATCCTGTACAAGTATGGGAGGTCCTAGTTCCTGCTTATTGAAGTTTTTATTGATACATTTAAATCTTTATGGAACTCCTTAGTTCGACTTGGCGGTTGAACAGACCTGGTGTCTAGCAGGCTCTGCCCATGCCTGCAGTGATGCGCAGGTTTTGTTCCCTTTCAGCCAGGATCGACAGCAGCAGCGCTTGGTGCTCCTCACTGCCAGTCAGCACACCCGTGTCCAGACTTTCCAGCATAAGGGCTACAATTCATCTCAGACAGGAGAGCAGAATTTGCAGCAGTTTCTTTGGCCTGGATTGATCCCTTTGCATGAGCCAAAAGAGAGGAGGTGAGCCCCTGGAATCTGAGTGATGACTAGGCCTCTCAGAAGGAGATTGTGTTGTGTCCAGCCAGGGATTTCCACAGCCCAGAGCGACTTGGGGAGCTCCTCTCTTCTCTCGAATGGGGTCTCACTGGCAGTATCTATAGTTCAGACACTTAGATAATTTCATTCAGGCATTCATTTAAATGCTTCACTCAAAAAATCAGGTTAGGAAACATATTTCTGATTCACAATCGCAGCTGTGTTTTTTGTGGAAACTACCTTTGAGCCTCAAAGACCAGAAATGAGATTTTGGTTGTCTAGCCACATTTAAGACTGGCCTGCCCACAACCAGGAGGCTTGTAGGGTATCTGGATAGCAGCACAATTCTCAGCTCCCTCCTGTTTATTGAGTCCACTTCTAAAACAGGTCACTTCTGTTTAGCATTCAAGCCCAAGCCCTGGAAGACAGGAAAATACCAGTTTGTTTTTCAGAGATAAATTCACTGACAGGAATTATCTGAATCTATTATATACCAATATATCTTCAAATAATATTTTGAGAGCCATGGGGTTTTGAAAGTTTAAAGCAATTTCTTCATCAACCTTGAGTCTGTTTTGTCGCTGACTTTCAGACAAGAGAGGCAGTTGCATGGAAGAATGACTGTGTCCTTGGTTTCTTCTTCCCATTTCCTACTTTCTTGCTCTGCTGCGTCCTGCTACATAAAAGTTCATAGGCTACATCTTCCTTGATATACCACATCTCCAGTGTCCAAAGAGGCATTATATAAATTGCCTTGCTGCAGTTAATCAAAGAGAACAAAGTCCAGCTGGAAGTGTGACTGGTTGAGGAGAAATGGGGTATGTTATTAAGAAGCTACAGTTGCCGTCAGACCCTAGTAGTAAGGTAACAGAATCTAAGGTGGGTCTGTAGGGGGTTTTGGTTGGTTGGTTGGCCTTAACTATCTGTGTAAAATGGATATCTAATTTGATCAAGATCTAACTTCTGACAGAACCTAGAGAATTGATCTACTTGGAAAATTTGTGATCACTCATAATTTTTTAAGTCCTCCTAACCTTCATAATGTGATTATGCAAGCTTATCATGTTTTAGCACAGCCTGTTGAGAACTTGCATTTAAAACAATGAAACAAAAAGAATTAGTTTCTTACAAATACATAAAGACAAGACTGACAGTGACTCTGTGACTAGTAACTCTATGGTTGCTTCCATTATTGGCTCTCTAAAATCTTCCTTTTGGTCAGGGAGAGGCCTGTAATACAACACACAAGATTGCAGGATGTGCAAGTACTGTGTAGAAAGTAAAAAAGTGACAGAAAAAATCACTAAGGTAGTCATAGGAGAAGGGCAGTAAATCTGTATAAATAAAGATTCCTTTGATTTTATTCAAGTCTTGAGAGTATTTCTGCAAATATTTTTGCTGAATTACATAAAAGCTAATGATAAAACATATGATATGTGGATGATGCAGAAAGATTTGTGATACATTTTCCTGGTATTTTCATGGTAGAGTTAGTTTTTGTTGCCTTACTATTGTAGGCATCACTTTTTTTTTTTTTTTTTAATATCTTGCCTGCACAGCATATGGAAAGCTGCTTTATTAGGGTTATTTTTTATTTTTCTCCTCAGCAAATTGGCCAAAATGCCCTTCACTTCCATAATACTTTCCCTGTATTCAGGATCATAATCTGGTATATTTGGGGAGAGGAAAAGAGGAGAGACTCTTAACTGTTCTTGCAGAAAATGTGAGTAAAATGAGTTAAGATCATAATATCATAAGTCAAGTGGGTGGCATAAAGCCATTCTCACACAACTACTTCATTGTGCACGAGGTCTGCCTGTGAGAGCGAGGCTGTCAAGTGATGGCATCTTATTTCACTGACAGAAATCCAGTCATGCTAATACAAACTATACAAGGTGCCTAGTGTCCCTAAAGCAGTGCAAATTGTGTTCAGAGCAAAATAACTTTGATTCATTGATCTTTCCTAGCCCGTGAAAAACTGGCAGACACAGAAGTACAAATGAATTACAATGCAGTATGTGTCTTGCTGCTTCCCATCCGATGGTCACTGCAGTAAGTTAGGCACATTCTTGTGCTGTGCTATTGAGTTGTCCTGCAGGTTGTCATTGCGCATTGTTAGAAGGCGCCCTTATGGAACAAAGCTCTCTGGGGTATATTGTAAAATTGGATGGGAACGGGCAGGGAAGGGTCAGGCTGTGCTAGCAGGCAGAAAAGGCACTTGGTGAAGTCTCCTTTCAGTGCAGCCCCTGGGCTAGTCCCCCCTCACAGGATGTGC